CCAGCTTCACTTCAACCCGTTCCCATCTTCTGTCTCCACTCCCGTCTCTAACCTGTCATCAAACACAAGTCCTTGGTTCGTTATGATATGCACATCAGATATATATAAAAACTAGCAGGAGCTAGCTAGGTGATTAAATGCAAGTGTATGTGTGAAATTAAGGGACAGAAGCAGAGAGAAACCAGTATAGAGTCGAAGCGTGGGATTGAAAGAAGGGACTTAATGCAAGAGATGAGGTGCAAATGAGGGACAGGAACTTCAAACTCTAAAACAATAAGGACGTGTAACCAGAAGGAAGAGCTGTCCAGGGATTGTGCCATAGGACTCAGAGGCTCAGGTAAGTGATCCATTGAAGTGGACAAAGTGCAAATAGCTTATGGAAGGAGGATTTTCTGGGGAGATAGGTTACGAAGACGGATGCATTTGAACTACGTGATACGATGTGTATTTATAGACTTACATAATGTGCGCTAAACCACACACAAACGAGCAGCGATGGCTATATTCTCTCACGTTTAGATATTGATCAATTTTTTTTTTTTTGGGTTATGGTTAATGCTAGTCAACACTAACGCAAGATGCTGAGAAAATTCAGAGATTGAAAAAAAAAAAGAAAAAAAAAAGAAGACAAGTACGCGATCGGTGTAGAGAAGCAGCAATTGTTAGCTAGAAAAGCCTAAAACCAAAAGCAAGGTAGTTGAACTTTCAATTTCAGGGACACGCGTCTCCTCAAGTGGTCACTCAGTTACAGTTCATGGCATCGTACCGAGGGAGTAAATCATCACATCTGTAATTAATGTTCAAGACACGTCATTCTAATTTTATTATATAGAAAATTAATGGCCAAATTAATTCGAACATTGAAATCTAAAGGAATTTCAGGTTGGCATAGAGAAAATAAACCTATAGCTGGCGACGGTGGCACTTAACTGTCTTACTTTACGAGGAATTAAACTGTATGCCGGCCCTCTCCCGTCGCTACTGAAGTAGTACTAAATTTTCCCCAGCTGGATCCTACGCAGTAGTGACAAAAAAGGTAGAAGAATAAAGATTATTGAATGAAACTGTGTTTTATTCTGATACAATAATGGTGATAACAGAGCTATATATATACACAACTGACATAGACTTGTGGGGAAGATGCAACAGAAAGCTAACAATTAGTTGAGCTTCAACTAACCAGCTGCAACGTTAAACTAGTCCAAGCCTCCTAATTACTCCTTAACATGGTACTTGTTCACAACCGTCGTATGTTTCAGTTTACCTTCTGCGTTATTAAAGCGAAGAGACATTTATATTGTGCTGTTTCAAAGGGAGTGTCTTTGAGATTTACTTTGAAAAAAGAAAGCGGTTTATTGTTTATATATTACGCACACAAACTTAAGCTTCAACCATCTTATGGACGGAATGGTTTGTTCTGCTTTGTTAAGAAGATTTATAGCTAACTGATTGAAGTCAAATTTTGCAGACATGATAGGTTCTGAAGGAAATAATTAAATAGACGTCAGAACAATATCTATATACTCCTTCGGTCCCAAATATTCAGTTCTAAATATAAGATTTATTTTGTAGTATTAATATAACTCAAGAGAAAAAGGCCATATACGTTGGCAAAGAAAAAAAAAAGCCATATACATGATTGGTTTGATGTTTTCAGATTAAAAAGCATCAATCTTTCAAAACCCAAATGCTGAATGCTGAAACTCCCATATGACACTGTCTGTGATATTCATGATCTCTTTGTGGCGCCATAGCTTGGCGTAGACCAATCCTGCCCCAGCTGATGAAGCTATATGAAGTGAAATAATAGAAAAAGACCGTTATATAGTGCAAGTGAAAGGGAGACTTGAAGACAACATCATCAAACTAAAAAAGAAAAAAAAACACAAAATTTAAGGGGCAATGATGGCACACGACTTCAGTTTTAAAAATTATCAGCTCTCCTTCATAGTACTACTTTTGTCATCATGTTACAATTTCAATTTTTTTCCTTCATTTATAGATGATAGATGTTGAAAATGGGGACAATGCCCAAGCTGAACCACACACAATGACACAAACGAGCGCCGGCCATATCCTCTCATGTTTAAATAATGATCAACATTTGTATGGTAAAAAAAAACGATCAATATTCATCTGCTGGCCTTTTTCCCTTTCTCGATCGTCCGTGGGCCCAGATATTTCATTACTAGTACGTAACTGCGAATAACTGCTGCGCTTGGTTTGCAAAGATCTTAGTTTATTAGATGACCCTTTTCAAGGCCAACAATTAGTGTTGAAAATTGAGTGGTAGAGCCTGAGAAACTTGGAGTGCACATTATCCCGTGAACCTCTTATATTTTGGATTAAAATTTCTTTTAATCAACTTCTTACTTACATATTCTGATTTTTAATTTGGTTCTAAATATATGAATCCAATTCAATTTATCTTTCATATTTATGTATTTTTTTAGTATAGTTCTTGTAGTAGTTGTACATATTAAATGTTTCATCAAATAGTAGTTTTAATTAATACATATGATTAGTAAAAGTATTCTAAAAAGATAACACTTATTTATTACAAATAACTAATGTAACTAGTTTCTTTAATTTCTCTAAATTAGTCAACTAGGTCTTATATTAAGGAATTGAGATGATATTATGAAATAGAGGGAGTACTATTGATACATCAACTTTCACATTAATTCTCACATACTCCTCTATAAGTCACTTCTACATGTTTCACACAGATTAAGAAAAATCTTAAACTTTATTAACTCTCATTTAAAATTCAATAACTTTTCAACTTTATCTCTATTTAATATATATTATACTTCATGTAAACAAAGTCAACACAATAATAAATGAAGGGTAAAATTATACATTCATGCAACAAATTTTTCTTAATACCCTATAAATAGGATTGAAAAAATATTATCTCTCTGTAACTTAGAAATAGGATGAGATGACTATTATGCAGCCCGTCTAAACCACGTGCGAAAAAAGAATGGTGTCCTCTCAATCACGGATCATGACATTGAGGAAAAACAAAAATTCATTAACTTTTTCTGACGGAAGTGAATGAAAATTAAATTTCATATCATAGGAAGCATTTAATTGTTACGCGTTAAGCGTGGCTTAGGTAACCGAAGCTAATTGTCCAAATACAAAGAAATAATTAAAAAAGATAGATGCACATGCCTTTGAAGGTAGTTAAAGGGTTTATGTGATTCGAACTCATGTCATTGGTCTGATTACAGTAAATGTACGTTCTTTGATTTTCCAGCAAATCTCCATTGTTCCAATACGCAGTGAAGACTTGAATTGAAAACAAGGTTTAGGTTCTGATTCTTCGGAAGAGACACATTTTGAGAACATTGCTACGTTAATGTGCAGCGAAGAAGAAAAAGTGTACGTGAATATAAACTGAGTGTTTTATACAGATACAATGGTGAAATAGAGCTACTCATCTGGTTTTCTTTACAAAGTAGAGAGAGGTTTTTTTTAGTTATATTTATAAGTCACTTCATTAAATTTTTAGTATGAATGTACTATTTTGTCATTCATTTATATAATGTAAATTTTTTTTTGAAAAAAAAATATATATACTCCCTCCGGTCCTTATTATAAGCTTTAAATAACTAATTTGTGAATAACAAACAATTAGTTAAAATTAGTTAAAAATAATAAATAGGTTAAAAATATTTTTGATTTCAAATATGCCCTTGTAATAAATGAGAAAAAAAGATGAAAGAGAATATGTGGAAAAATGTGATAAGAGAGATTATGGCAAAAGAGAGAGAATGAATAATTAAGGGTAAAATTGAAAAAAGTGTGTTAAATGTTAAGACAAACACCAAATTAAATCTTATAAAATGGACTACACCTCCAATTTGAAGCTTATAAATAAGACCAGAAGTAGTATTAAATATGGATAAAGTTAAAAAATTGTTATATTTTAGTAGGATAGTTGATACAGTTTAAGGTTTTTTTTTTTAATATATGTGAAATATATTGCAAGTGCTTTATAAATAAGATTAACATAGACTTGTGGGGAAGATGCAACAAAAGAGCTAACAAATTGGTTAAGCTTCAAAGGTTTCGTATGCTTCAGTTTACGTTCTGCAACATTAAAGAGATTTATAGCTAAGTGATTAAAGTCAAATTCTGCAGACATTAAATTTGCAGTCAAAGGTTCCGAAGGAACTTATATTATATAATTAAATAGACGTCAGAACAACCACTATATTAATGCAACTCGAAAGGGCAAAAAAAAAAAAAAAAAAAAAGACCATATGCATAGTTGTTTTGATTTTCTCAAATTAAAAACTATCAACCTTTCAAAACCCAAATGCTGAATGCTGAAACTCCCATCTGATACTATCTGTGAGGCTCGTGATCTCTTGATGGGGCCATGGATTGGCGTAGACCAATCCAGCCCCAGCTGATGGAGCTTGATGGCAGCATCAAATGGATCGATAATGATAGCACTCAGCCTGATACACATTGAAGTAATTCACTAATTAAAAGCTGTGTTAATAACCTCAGTTTTTCCTCACCCAATCAGTAAAGACCTGCATCTTGGCACTTATCCACGACTCTCCCTATATGAAAACTCCATGATTGCGTACTAGCACCGCATTTGTTCTTGGGTATGCTTCAAGCTATATGAAGCACACCAATAATAGAAACATAAAACAATTACTGTACAATTGAAAGATAGAGATAGTTAATTAAATGACCCTTTCCAAAGTGCTTGTTCTGAGCAGTGATCAAAAGTTAATGTTGAAAATTAAGTGGTAAAAGCCTTACAAACCTGGAGGGCAAGATAGAGACATTCGTTTTAAAGATGAATTTCTCGCACTCAAATACAATTATTGTTTTTGGCCAAAAAAAAAACTATTGTTTACTTCTTCACTCTGTTTTGTAACTTCATTCTCACGTCTCTCACTCCACTCTTATTTTACAGCTGACACTGATGGATGTTTAACATAAGCTTACACATCTCATTTTATTTGGTGCATAAACACATTGCACTCCCACTTATAATTCTTCTCAGTTCATGAGGATTTAATTTTCAGAATTTGGTTTTGTCTGCAGGAATCTCCAGCGCTGCTTTGTGTATTATGTGAAAGGCATCATTCACGTACGACTCCAATTTCTTCACATCTATGAATCCTTCTTCCACTCTACCTGTCACTCTTAACGTTCCCATGTAGCTTATTATGGTAATAAACAGACTCTGCAGAGTAAAGTAAGCAAACGGCATTCAAATTTAATTTCTTTTCGACGCATGAAAAGAGAGGGTATAGAGAAAAAACAGGACAATACTATATGTTATGTATCCCACGAAAGAACAGGAGTACTATTACTTGGTAGGACATGATTATTTATCATTAACTGCGTTAAGCTGACTCTTCGTGATAATTAGTTGATTTTCCCAGGTCAAAACATGATGAGAAAGGGGAGGAAGAGGAAACAGTAATATATACCTGAGGCATGCCAGACCCAGTAAAGTAAAAGTCTTTTATTGGATAATTAGCCACAGCCAACTGATCCAACGGTCAAACCATGTTCGTTATGAAACAACTTGAGTTTCTCAATGTCTTGTGCAAGTGTTTAGCCGCTCCCTACACAGCACGCCACAATAATAGTTAACCTTAATCTGAAACAATATAATCCCACTAAAACCAAATGCACACACACACGCGCGCGCACACATGTATGTATATATATCCGACGAAAAAAGCGATTTAGAAAAGGCATTCAGAGTTAGCTGAAGCAAAACGAGGATCTACTTACCTCAGCGCCTTTGAGTCGATGCTTCATCTGCACAAGCGTGCCATGGAGTAAATAAACTAAAAAGTTTCTCTTCTTCATTGTATGATGAACTTTCCTAACAAATTGAAGTGGATCTGAACTTTGGGCGTCATTCAATTTTGGAATTGCTACATGCATGAAGGAGAATTTGTTCCCCCAAGTACCCTCCCCTTTAGCCTCTTTCATATTTTTGGCTGCCTGGTAACTTTGAACATTTCTTGTATTAAGTATTAGCAGAAGGGTGCTATTTTTTGTGCTTGAAGAATGATCGACGTCTTGCATGTATAACCGGATCCCGAGGGAAATTATTCCCGTGATCACATCATTTACTGTCTGTATTAATACAATAAAACAAAGTTATAAACTTTTATTGTCAAGCAAATACAGTAGAACTAACGAGAGTTTATCTTCTTGCCCGCATAAAAATATACGTTACTAATTACATACCACTTCAAGCTTGGACTTCATTTCTTTAATACGGTTCATTGGAAATTTGACATTGAACATGGCAGCAGGTTGAAGCTCGACTGATCTATTTCCAGACCTTATTGGTGTTTTATCATCTTCAACCAAAGTACTTTTGAGCAAGCTCCACCCAAAATATGTTGCAGAAGAGAAGATAGAGGATAAGAAGCGGGGAATTCTCCCGAACAAGTTTCGGCTTTCAGGCTCCATTTTTGACGATTTGAGTGAAGGAAAAGTCACAGGGAGAGAGGGATCATCAGCTCTTTCCAGACAAGAGAGAAGAACACCCATGAGAGCGTAGCCATCTCCAACGGAGTGATGAACTTTAAAAACTACAGTGGTAGTGGAGTGTTTGATCACATGAACTTCCCATAATGGCTTGGAACGAGTTAGATCCTCCAACGAGATCTTTGATAAATATTCACTAAAGCATTTGGCATATCCATCCTTTGACATGGCCTCCCAAGAAATTGTTGGTTCGGCAATATGGTCCTCCAGCTTCACTCCAACTCGTTCCCATCTTTTGACTCCTTTCTTGTCCCTAACCTGTGGTCAAGCATGAGGTCATGGATCATTAGATTTGAGAACCTAGCTAGGCAATAACGTTATAAATCAAATGCAAGTGCGTGCTAAATTGAGAGAAACAGAGCGGGGTAGAGAACCAATATCGAGGAGAAGCGTGGGATGGAAATTAGGGACCGAAGGACAGAAAAAAGAGGCGAATGAGGGAAGGCAACTTCAAATTCAAAAACAACAAGGATATATGCCCAGAGCGAAGAGGTGTCTAAGCACTGTGACATAGGACTCAATGGCTTGGTTAAGGGATCCATTGAAATGAATAAAGTATGGTACATAAGGTGAGATAAGTTTTGTGTGCACCAGTCGTCTATCTGCATAATTTGTATTTATAGAGACTCTCTCTATCGCACAGGTACAAAACATGATAAAAATATTTCTTAAATATTTCGTTATTGAAAAAAAAATCTCATAATATATATTTTCAACTATTTATTTTGTCTTTGTAAAATTTTTATTTACAACTCATTAATTAGTCTATCTGCATAATAAGTTGAACAAGCGTAAAGTTTATTTTCCAAGGACCAAATTATGCATTTAGTTTCAAATTTTGAGAATTAAATTGTTGAATCTTATGCTTCTCTCTTGTTTTCTTTTTTATTCATTTATACTTGAAAGTCACTTAAATATTCTACTTGTTTACCGATAACATCCTATTTAACTAAATTCAATACTGCCTAGATTTTCTTTTCATGAAAGTCTGATTCATGCAGATTATTATTCTCCCAGGGATATTCACAGAATTGCCTTGCATAAAGTTGAGCTCAATTTTGCAAAGAAAGAAAATCCAAATTAATCTCTTTCGGTGTTAGAAAATGAAACATTTCTAATTATAGTCATTTCTTATTTTAGCTACGTGGAGAAGTCAATTTTAATAAAAATCAAAAGAAGTGTATCCATCAGTTTTTATCACACGTATCCACAAAATTTATTATCATTGATACATCAAGTTTTACATTAATTCCTAAATTTATGTGGGTTGTTGAAGATGGGGCAAAGCCCAGCTAAACCACCGGCGCCAAAAAGAATGGTGTCCTCTCAATTATGGGTCACGACATTGAGAAAAAAGATGTTCATTGTCTAAAGCCGACGGGAGTGGTTGAGAATTAAATTTCATATCAAAGGAAGCATTTAATTTCTATGCGGTACCACCTTAATTAAGTGGCACTCAATTACAGGCCATGTCATTGTGCTGGGACTTAAGCGTGGCTTAAGTAACTGAAGCTAATTGTCCAAATATAAAGAAATACTATCTCAATGCATAATATAAGACCTAATTAACTAATTTGAAGTAATTAAAAAAATTAGTTTATTTAGTTAGTTGTAATAAATGTATCATTTTTCCTAGAAGACCCTTGCTAATCATATATATTAACTAAAACTACCATTTAATGAGATTTTTAACATGTACAATTATTATATTAAGCACCGGAGGTAGTAATAATTTGGGGGAAAAAAAAAGAAGATACTTAGCGAAGAAGAGGGGAAAAAAGGTACATGCGCATGCCTTGAAAGTATTTAAATGGTTAATGTGATCTGAATTCACGTTATTGGCCTACAAATATACGTTCTTTATTATCCAGCAAACCTCCCTCATTCCTGATGCAGTGAAGACTTGTGCTGAAAATGAGGTTTAGGTTCGGATTCTTCGGAATAAACACATTTCGAGAGCATTGTTACGTTAATGTGCAGAGAAGAAGAAAAAGCGTATCTGAATACAAACTATGTTTTATACTGATACAATGATGAGTCAGAGCTATATATATAACTAACATAGACTTGTGGGGAAGATGAAACCAAAAAGCTAACAAATTGGTCAAGCTTCAAACATGTTGAATGCTTCAGTTTACGTTCTGCAACATTAAGGAGATTTATAGCTAATTAATTAAAGTCAAATTTTGCAGACATTATATACTTGCAGTTGTAGGTTCCGAAGGAACTTATAACGGGACCTATAATTAAATAGACGTCTGAACAACTACTACATATATATATATATAATGCAACTCGAAAGGGCAAAAAAAAAAAAAAAAAGAAGAAACCATATGCATATTTGTTTTTACGTTTCTCAGATTAAAAAGCATCAACCTTTCAAAACCCAAATGCTGAATGCTGAAACTCCCGTCTGATACTATCTGTGTTGTTCATGATCTCTTGATGGGGCCATGGCTTGGCGTAGACCAATCCAGCCCCAACTGATGGAGCTTAATGGCAGCATCAAATAGAAAATGATAACACTCAGCCTGATACACATTGAAGTAATTCACTAATTAAAAGCTGTGTTAATAACCTCAATTTTTCCTCACCGTACCCAATCAGTAAACACACTGACCTGCGTCTTGGCACTAATCCATGACTCTCCCCATATGAAAACTCCATGATTGCGTACTAGAAGCGCGTTTGTTCTCGGGTATGCTTCAAGCTATATGAAGTACAATAATAGAAAAACAATTATTATTATTGTACAATTGAAAGATAGAGAGACTTGAAAACATCATCATGAAACTGTAAACCAAAAGGCAAAGGGACAAAGATGATATACCATTTCAGTTTAGAATTTATCAGCTCTCCTTCGTGTGCGGCATTCTCAATTATTGGAACCATAAGTTCGTCATAATACCCACGTCCATCAATTCCTTCTATCATTTCCATGTCCAGCACTGCGCATCTCATGAATCTGTTCACATATTTCATATATTTTTTTAATTCTTATTACTAGTTGATTATATGTATTTTTTTTCTTATTTATTTTGTTGCATTTTTTTACGGCTTATTTTCTTTCGCATATCTTCCTTATAAACAAGAACATATTTTTTTAAAGAAAAAAATTTCTTACACATTTATGTCTTCAACCAATAACAGATTTCCACATAACTAAGTTATTTTCTTTGCTACGTGTAAGTATTTTCTAATTGAAGACAATTCTATTTGAGATATTATCGAGCATTAAATGTGAGTATATTTTCAAATAGGATTCAAATTTTGATTTGTCACATTGTAAGATATTAGTTCTTTCTGCTATACTCAATCTGGTATATAGTTTAGTTATTCAAGTAGCTTAGAAATAGGGTAGATTATGATTTTCAGCAGACCCTCATTCACTTCTACGTGCGTGCATATCAATCTGGTATATCTTCTCTCTCTACCCTATGGTCCTATTTATAGGGTAGAGAGAGAAGATATATTTTGAACCTCGGGTACTGAAAGAAATTTTTTATATTGATGTATAATTTTACCTTTCATTTATTATTGTGTTGACTTTGTTTATATAGGGTATAATGTATGTTAAATAGGAATAAGGTTGGAAAGTTGTTAAATTTTAAATGATAGTTAATGAAATTTAAGATTTTTCTTGTTCTATATCAAACATGATGGAAATGACTTATAAATAAGACCAAAGTGGCATAAATTTAAGCGTCATTGTAAATTTTTTTTTTTCTTGAAGTTATTGTAAAGTTCAAACCCGGCCTTTCTCAAGTTCCAAAGTTCTACCATTTTCTTCCGCGTTCCTATAAGCTTCGAGGCTTATTTTCACTCTAGTGAATTCAATTAATGTGAACCTCTCTCTTTTTTTTTGGTCAAAATTAAATGAATAGGCTGCTTTTGTGATGAGCTTGGTTCACTCAGTAAGGAATTAGCTCATAACTTGTAACGTCCAATATTTTTTTTCAAGATTGGCTGCTATAATAAGGAGCAAAGGCAGTTTTATTTATTGCTGCAACTGACAAATCATAAATAATACTAGTAACTATTACATGGATTAAATCAAGAAATATCTCTTGCATTAATTTTATTTGCTAAAGAAACATAACAGCCCTCTTAAATCTTCTCAGTTCGTGAAGGATTAGCATAGCTATTTCTACAACTTGGTTTCGTAAGGAATCTCCTACGCTGCTTTGTGTATCATTTCAAAGGCATCATTCATGTACGACACTAATTTCTTCTGATCTATAAATCCTTCTTCGGCTCTTGTTGTCACTCTTAATATTCCCATATAGCTTGTTATGGTAATAACCAGACTCTGCAACAATATATATAGCAAGTACCAAGAGAGAGAATTTAATTTCTTCAGCACACGTACGGACATCAGAGATAGATGGTATTAAAGAAAACCCAAAGAAAAATGATGAGAAAGTGAACACGAGAGGTAACAATACATTTTATATACCTGAGGTACGCCGGACAAGGTAAAGTATAAGCTTTTTATGGGGAAATGAGCCATAGCTAGTTGATCCGAGGGTCCGACCATGTTTGGTATCAGTACACTTGAGTTTCTCATCGTCTTATGAAAGTGTTTGGCCACTGCCTGCAACACAATGTAGAACAATACTTCATTAGCAAAATGTATCAAAAAGTATCCAGAATTAGCCAAAGAATAACGGGAGTATATTATTAATGAAGCAGTGCAACGAATACATACATCCATGCACTCACCTCAGGGCCACTGAATTGATGCATCATCTGTAGAAACCTAGAAATGAGAGAATAAACCAAATGGCCTCTCTTCTTCATCTTCATAGTATGATGAGCTTCCCAAACAAATTGAAGTGGATCGGAAACAAGGGTGTCTGTCAATTCCGGAACTGGTACCTGCGTGTATGTGAATTTGTTCCCCCAAGTACCCTTCCTGTCCCTCCCCGTTCTCGTATTATTCTCCTTCGTCTCGTAACTCTCAACATTTCTCGTATTCAGCATTGGCAGCAGGGTGCACTTTTTTGTTCTTGAACTGTAATCAACATCTTGCGTGTATAACCGAATCCCGCAGGAAATTATTCCGGTGATCACATCATTTACTGTCTGTATATAGCAAAACAAAAGTTATACACTGATATATATAGACACATGATGCACACTGAGTAAACAAATGGGCAATAGGATGAAAAACCACCACATATTAAAACAATTTCATTGTTCCTTCCACACACACTTATTCGATGCAGGTTTG